AGAGCGTTCCACATTTACCGAGGAGCAATATAATCTCCTCCATGGGCGGATTGATTCTCTTACTTCATCGATCGACGGCATGGGTAGCGTACTTCTCCAGATGTAGGCTCAGCAGATATCTATCAAGGACCGACAGCTCGAGATGCAGCAGCAGCAGCTTGAGATGCAGCAACGACAAGCTGAGATGCAGGCTCAGCAGACTGCATTTTTCACCAAGTTTTATGCTATATTTCCTCCTCCGTCCCCACCTCCGGCCCCTTAGTTTACTTTCTTGGCTACTACTATTCTCATGTTAGTTGTTCTCTATTGCACTTTTATATTTTGGATAGTTGACTTCTTAAATGATATTTTTATGCTATTTGACTTATTATATCTTTTTGCTTATACCAAAAGGGGGAAGATGAGCAGATGATTATGCTACATAGGAACAACATAGTAAGCGGGAATGTTATTAAATGTTATATGCATGTTGATAAGGGGAATATTACTTGCAATATACAAAATTATGCTCCTGATTATTTGATGCTGATTCAATTTGTTCAATATTTGTTTTGCAAAAATCATCTCGTTTGTCATAATCAAAAAGGGGGATATTGTTGACCTAATGGTTGACTTCTTGTTTTGATTATTACAAACAAATTGCGTTTGATTCTAAAAAATTGAATTTAAGTGATTGATAGTGATTATTGCAAATTTATGACACGAAAGATCTAGATCAGGAATCATGCAACCTTGTAGCAAAACGATATACACACAAGATTTACAAACAAGGAAATGGAAATCGAGCTTTCACGCACCAAATTGCATTGGATGAAGAAATTGAAGACATTAGCTATAGATGCATTTGTATACTCAAGTGTAAATGTAAAACATTTTAATATTTCTCATCGATTATAGCTCAAACGATTTTTATGCACGGAAATTATCGTGACAAAATTTACTTGCATAAAAATTATTTTCAAAAGATAAGTAAGTTGATTTTCACAATTAAACCTTTATGAAATTACTTATCTATATGAAATATATAAGAAAACTGTTCAAGTACCTTAAAGGAAATTTTTCACGAAAAAGGAAAATTCGATTGGAAAATAGTTGGCCCATCCGGACGTCCGGATGCGATGTCCAACAGTCACATTTTTTAACCGTTTGCCAAACGGCTAGTTAATTGTCCGGATAACAAACGAACATCCGAATCATTTGTTCGGATCTCCTGATTAATGGCTATAAATACCTCTCTTTATATCTCTTTTAAAGTGAGCTTTTAGAACATTAAAGAGAGTTATTTATTGATCTTATCTACATTGTTTTTCAATCTTTAAGAGATCAAAATATCTATTCGTTGAAAAACTTTTTGAGTGAGTAACTTTTTGAAAAATCATATATCTCAATAAAATTTTTTCACTCAACACTTGAGATATATTCTTTGAGATTTATTGAAGCGTTTGTGCCTAATTCTCTCTTAATATTTAGTTGTATTCATACCATTTGTTAAGAGAGAAACCTTTCGATTGTAACTTTGATTTTCTTGTCGGTCGAGTTGAGGTCCCGAAAAGTTCAACGTGTAAAGGGATTGGTGCTCCTTAATTGTAAGTCGCCCGAAGCTTTGTAAGGGTTGGATTGTACCATAAATCAATCAAAGATAGTGAAAAAGACCTTACTCGTGATGGAGAGCTTGGTAACGGGGGATGTAGATCGTGATTGGATCGAACCTCCTTATTACATCGTTTGCACTCTCTTTTCCCTTTCTCTTATTACTTTTGTATTGTCATGTTTATTCATAGTTATTTGCTTAAATTTGCATTTAGTATAGAAAAAGTTTCAAATAACCAATTCACCCCCCTTGGTTAGTTATTCTTGGGCCTTCATTTCTTAAATTAAATATCTGAACAGATATTTGAATCGAGAACCGACAGGTTGGGTTTAGTTCTCAATCCGAAAAATCAAATAAGAACTAAATCTCCCTAGTTTTTTATTTATTTATCTTAAATAAACCAAATTATTTTTTAAAAAAATAAATTTACCAACTAATTAATTTAGTCCAAACTCAAAATAAGATTTTTCTACTTCTAATTTCTAGCCGAAGTCCAATCTAATCAAATTGATCAAAGTTTTTCCCATATCTATTATTCTACCGTAATACCGTTTCTACAATTTTGAAGAAATCAGATTGGAGACTTGGCTACGACCATCTTCATTATTATGAGTTGCTCTCTTCTTCCTCCTGTAATTTTAACAATCAAATCTATGAAAAACTCAATAAAGAGAGGCGCAAAAGATACATAAGATTTTGCTACGTTATTTTGTAAAAACTTAGATTAAACATATCATTCATTGAATTAATACAGCGTTGTTGTAAATATTAAAAAATTAATTACTATATGGAACTCATGAAACGAATCAAATTGAACAAAATGGAACTTAACCCAAATGATTTCATAATTAAATTTGAGCCCAACGCTTTTAATTACTAAATACCAGAAAATTTGGGTTCGATTTAGTTCTTTTTAGAACATAACCGAATCAGACCATATCCCGTCCTACCTTTTGCATTAACAAATATATTGAAATAAAAACTAGAAATAGAAAAAAAAAAAAAAAAAAAAAAAAAAAAAAAAAAAAAAAAAAAAAAAAAACACCATTATGGCCATTATTTAGGTAAATTTTTTAATATTAAAAAAAAAAAAAAAAAAAAAAAAAAAAAAAAAAAAAAAAAAAAACTAATATACTAAAATAAATGCAAAATTCACCTCTAAATTGAGAACAATAACTTTCTCCCGCCCAAGTATACTGGAAGGGTAAGACGAGGGGATCAAGAATTCGAAGATAACGCACGTGGATTTGCATCCTGTGCATGATTACATACTTATCAACGTCCAGGATGATCTCCTTGCCCAAAGAGCCCATAAGGATCCATTTCCGTCACCTGGCTCTCTTTTTCTTCAGTCCACCCGGAGGATCTGCCGGCACCACATTCCCACCTTCTTGACCAATCATATCCAATAAACATTATGATGAAAAATTACTTAAAACATCTTCATGATTCTTTCAATGGTTTACTTTAAGTAGTGATTTTGAGAATTGATTTTTTGATCGTGAGAAAAGTGAGGGTCACATGTGAGAGAAGAAGTCAAAGATTATGACTGGAATAATGAAATAACGGTCAAAAAAAAATTTTTTTGGATGAAAAATCACTCCCAAAAGAGGTATATTCATATGTGTGCCTTATTATAGAAACAGAGAAAACAATTCAGAGCTGTACAGTGTATAGGATGGATCACATGACAGAATTAGAATTTGCGTATAACTGAGATTGATCCGGAGAGATTGAGAAGAAGGCTCATAATTTGTTTTATTATTCCACTGAATATGAATGGATTTATCTTCTTGGACTATAGCATAACCGGTCTTGAATTTACAATAAAGAGAGAACATGATCTACACCTCAAATTCGACAGAGACCATTCTTATTTAGCCGCCGCTTGATGTACTTAAAATTAGTTTTTTAGTAAATTTTGATAAAAATTAATAAAATATGTTATTAAAACATTGTGAAACCATAGATTTTAACATAAATTTTGATCTATATAAAATATGGGCTTAATTATATTATGTATTTAAAAATATACTATACTTGAAAAATAACTAAAATAAATTAATAAGCGAGTAACTTCTTCACACCCCATAGTTTATGTGTGTAAAACTAGAACGAGCTGCACACTTAAAGCAAAACTTGGCTGAAGCCATCCAGTAGGACAACCTATCCCTTAGGTGTTACGGGCCAATGGCTATACGAGCCATGTTAGTTTAGGAAGACTATGAGATGGGGGGCGAGGTGAAGGTGGCTCTCCCAGACCTCAGTTCTCCTCAGTCATTGGGAATTTTTGAGGCGAGGTAGGACGAGTAAAATATCTCAATTTCTCGTCTTGTTTATTTTATTTTTTTTAAAATATGATTTAAACACATAAAAATAATTAATTAGTACATAGAGAATGAATAAAGTCCATGTTTCTTTTCTCATCCACGGGACAAGGAACTCCCATGTCATTCGAGAGGAGATGAAAGGGAATGGGACATTTTACATTTATATCAACTCAGCCAAGGTTTGAATAAAGAGTCGTGGGGGAGGGGGGGTGGGGGGGAACGAATTTTATGTATTTAAAAAAGTACTATACTTGAAAAATAACTAAAACTAATAAATAAGCGAGTAACTTCTTCACACCCCATAGTTTATGTGTGTAAAACTAGAACGAGCTGCACACTTAAAGCAAAACTTGGCTGAAGCCATCCAGTGGGACAACCTATCCCTTAGGTGTTACGGGCCAATGGCTATACGAGCCATGTTAGTTTAGGAAGACTACGAGATGGGGGGCGAGGTGAAGGTGGCTCTCCCAGACCTCAGTTCTCCTCAGTCACTGGGAATTTTTGAGGCGAGGTAGGACGAGTAAAATATCTCAATTTCTTGTCTCGTTTATTTTATTTTTTTTTAAATATGATTTAAACACATAAAAATAATTAATTAGTACATAGAGAATGAATAAAGTCCATGTTTCTTTTCTCATCCACGGGACAAGGAACTCCCATGTCATTCGAGAGGAGATGAAAGGGAATGGGACATTCTACATTTATATCAACTCAGCCAAGGTTTGAATAAAGAGTCGTGGGGGAGGGGGGGTGGGGGGGAACGAGACATGCCAAACTAATTTCTTATCTACATATTTTGTGATACACAACTATTACTCACGCATCCATCACTTATTTTTATTTGTTTATAATTTATAAACTGATTATAAACAATACCCACAGTTCAATTTACACCTCCAGTGTTGCTGGTCTCCTCTCTCCCTAACAATCATGCATTAATCAGTTCCTCAAACTCACAATAAAGAAAGAAAAGAGCTACATATACATAACTGTCTACATAATTGTTCCATAATTACACGTGACTGGAACAACCGAATGATTGTCACATCACATTATGGACACATTATTTACAATAATTATGTACAAGTAGAATTTTCCATAAAGAAAGAAAACTCTTCCAATTCCAAAATCCGCGTTATAAATACCAATTACACCAGCAGGAAATGAAGCAACAACTTGAAATAATACATAAAGCCCAAAATATGAAACCCTCTTCAATTTTTTCCTCTATAACCTCAAAAACTATCCATATACAACAATATTGTGTCTATTATTACAGAAAGAAGCGAAAATCTACAAAACTCCATTAATTAACCTTGAACTGCCAATTCTTGCAAGTGCTCAAGGAATACTTGCAGGCTCACATCATCTGTAAATATAATTTCTGAACCGTCTGTATATGTTGAATTCTGAGTTACGGATGGATTTAACTTGGCAAGAAGAAACCTTGCTTGGCTACTGTGCTGGTCACATTTGATAAGTTTCGGGACGGGAACCCTTTCAGCCACCAGTTGCTCAGCATCAAGCTCAGGAGCTTCTAGAAGTTTCCTGAAATTCTCGTGGATAGGGTCCTTGTCATAACCGAGTTTTCTCCACTGTGCAATCTTAGAACCATAGTGAATGACAACGTAAAAGAAGGAATCAAAAAGCAAAATCACATCCGGAGATATGGAACATATGTCCAAGAGGACTGGGATAGGGGGACCATCAAATGAATACTGGAAAAGGGTAGGCTGGACCATGATAAGAGAATTAACTACTCCCTCACGATTTAACATCAAACGGAAATAAGCTGTCTCGTCTGGAGTGCTGTTGAAGACGTCAATAAATTGTGACCTCCTCAAGTAGTATATAAATTGTGGATATAAAGAGAAGTTGGACGAAAGGCGGAAGGAAGACGGATCTTCCGGCATGTAATCCCCAAATTTAGAAGCAAAACGAATCAATGTCTTATCCAACCATCTTACAACATCATGTGCATAACTTTTCCCTGTTCTGTGGATGGCAAGTCTAGCCATAACTGAAGCTGCCACTTCCTGATCAAACCCAGCAGCAATATCAGGTGAGTGCTTCCCGGTCCACCTTCGTGAAACGGTTGTCACCCTTTTCCGGATTCCCATGTTACCATATCGATAACGTGTTATGAACTGTATGAAAAATGCAGAACCAGATTGAACATTTTGTCCGTCACCCACTTCGAAGAAGAAAGCAATGCATGTTTTGCTAGTGACTGTCCCCAGTTTCCAAATGTAAGTACCACCCTCACCAATCTCTTTGTTGCTTACTGAATTATTCATCTTCCGCATAGAAGTACAGGGACCAAGGGCCCCACAAATCTTCACATCTTTTGTCGTTACTATCTCTATAGTTGCATCAAAACACATCTTTAAATTTCCACTGTCATCACGGTCAAACATTTGACGCAGGCACTTCCTAAATTGCTCCGACGCAAATGATTCCCCTAACATCATGAAACCACCTGAACTTTCAACTGGGACTTTTATTTCTGCTGCTCCAACCTGATCCAGAGAGCAGACAAAAAGATCAAGAATGATGGATGAATCAGATAATCTCTGAGATATTTGCTTGTAGAATTCACTGGATTTTCTATAGTAAGCTGCATGACCATTATTAAGGTCTCGGTGAGTTCTGATGGAATTGCCAAGATCAGAGTTGACGATGATCCCTGGGCCGATTGTTGCAGGTCCTGATGTGAAGACCATGACACGAGAACCAGTATTCACCGAGCATCCTTCTAGAAGCCCTACAGCCACTGATATTGCAACACCTGTAGACCGTAGAGGCCGGTGTCCTCGCGTGATCTGTGGTGAAGAACAAATATCTTCGATTGCTGATGTTATGTTGAACTCACATTGCGACACTGGCAAGAGAAAGTCCTTTCTTTGAACAGCTGATGTCATTCCAAGGGGTTGTGTCATTTGATGGAGCCCAAGAAGCTGCTTAGTCTGTTTAAAAATGAGAATCGAGCAAGTGAAATCAATATATCAAAAACAAAAACAGATATAGGATTGACATCTTAGTCTATGTTGGGCAAATTTATAAATCATTTATAAATTGATCAAACTTCATTTTCAACCACATATTTCAAAAGGAGCCACCAACACTATCCACTTATCCACCACTCATTTCTATCTATTTATAAATTCTTCCCAAACAGAGGTTTAATTAATTGTAATATATGTAGCTCCATTGATCGATAGTCCAAAAAAATATAGTGGTGTTGAGCCAGGCAATGAAATGAAACGGGCGCAAACACAAGAAGATGCAAAAGAAAAAGAATCCTGAAATTTTCACCAGCTTAAAACCTTCCTCGAGATTACAAGAGTACAGGTCTTAGGCTACTAAATGTTTCATCGACCCCTACAACTAGTCATTGATCATCTCCACACCTAGAACACCCAGCCTAAAAGCATCAATGCATACTACTGGTGTCCTGGCTCCATCAAATTACTATAAACACATTATTTCATCAAGACAAAATTTTTTTTTTCCTGTTTCTCTATTCCAAACGAATATGACATACATATTGAGTGAAATGACCTAAATATTGGCTGATGAAAGTCACTAACTTGGACAAAATATTTCACTTAAACTAATAATTCAAATATCATAGAAAAATACTGACTCCACAAGCTTCCATCAGTGCCATTTCTCCACAAGTTTCTTTCTATCTGTGAACAACCAGCTTATAGTGGCACCAAGCTTGGAGCCATTGAGCAAGAGAACCAAAAAGAATTGGTTTAAGCTCCATTTTTTATTGAAGGCATCAGAGTCGGATTTGTAGCACAGACATTTCAATTAGGGTAGCATGTCCGTGTCAGACACATGTCCATACCGACACTTCTCGAACACTCTACCATAATTTTTTTCCTTTCTTTACTAGAAATATTATATATTTTTAACTCAAAGTAATCGATAAATAATAAATAGGTCCTCATTTAAAAAATTTCACCAAGAAAAATTAATAACAAGTATAAAACTAAATTAATACTATATAAATGAAAAATTTTAAAGAATTTCATCAGTGTGTCGTGAGGGTACTTTTTTGAAAAATCCACGTGTCCGTATCGGTGCATCGCAGAGAGTCGGTAATATTCTACCCTCATTATGAATAACCAATCTAGAAGAGTGGGTGAAATAATGGGTCAAGTTGAGACAAGAATGTTAAGTGGAAGTGAAGAAGTGATCTGCAGAAAGGAGGTGTAGTAGCACAGGGAGACTTTGTAATCAAACACAAATTCAACACAAGAGGCACATGGATTGCAGAATTGGAGGGGTTTGTATCATCGCTGGTATGAGAGTGGGTAGAAACTAGAAAGAGTTCAGGGTCAGCAAAATGAGGAAATGGTTGAGTGAATCAATGTAGTTTGCACTTTCGCCTCTAAGTACGTGATGCTGATCTGTATATTAAGGAGCTTGTATCAGAATGAACATAGCTATGCCAACCTCCGTGGAGGTTATTTCTGATTGCTGAAGTATTTATCTGTTCTTTTCATTGTCCGTTGACATCCTTTATTTATATATGAGATAAGAAGGAAAGGAAAAAAATTTTAAGATACAGTGTGACTTATGTTATTATAGACCTTTGAATTTAAATCTTTATGGCAGTTTCGTTTTACAGGCTTCAAGTTGGGGAAGAGGAGTTTTAATTGCAATCGTGTATTGGCCACCTTGCAATCGTGCATTGCTAATCTCGCAGTTCATAGAATTCTTTTGATATCTTACATTGACAACAAACCCCATCTTCTCAATTTACAATCCTATCCATATTTGTCAAAATAATGCAATTATTTCATCATCTTTCTTCACAATAGCAAATATTTCCAATATATTAGGTCTATAATCCAAGTAAAATCATAGATAAATGGCAGCAGGAGTAACATAGGCAGGAAAATGCGATATTATTCAATTTGGGAAAGATTCAGCAGAATATATAAGGCAACAAATTTTTATATAGCAACTGAAACAAAGAATTTGTTCTAATATGAAATCCAATACAAAAAATGCATCATTCTCAACATTAACTAATATGTGTTTCTATGGAAATATACCTGCTCCGATGAAACCTCGCGCTCACCATGGAAAAGCACAACCCTCAAACACTCCGTAAACCCCAAGTCATACACCCTCACCATAGAGTCAAAAACAACCAGACCCACAAGTGCATTCTCTGGCAATCGAGTGATGACATGCAACAATTCACTCTTCAGCAGTCCCAGCTCGTCTTCTGGTGTACAAGCATCCACAACAAACACAATCGCTGGCCCCACCATTAACCCAGCCCCTGCCCAATCCGAACCCGTGCTTGGACCAAAATACGCTGACATGGATGTAAATGAACTACTATTAGACCTCAAACCCAATGCCTTATTCATGCTCGGAGCCGAGCCCAGACCGGAACTCAAACCCAAGCCTTGGTCCGAACCCCTTTTATTCAAATGATACTCCACGGTGCAGTAGGTAGGAAAAAGCTCAGCTGGAATATTATTTTCATTAATATGAATATACGATACTGGGAAACGATTCTTCTCATAGCAAAACGGACAGATCCAGATTTTCGCAGTGTAATCAACCCTGGAATACGGATTCAAAACTGCGTGGCATTGGGAACAATACAAAGGATCGTAAGGCAGAATCGGAAGCTCGTTAAATGGCGTTAAGGGGGTGCACATGATGGAAAGTGGGATGACTAGAGATGCAACTTCGGGCTTGGTAGCAGGCCAGGAGTGCCATGACCATCTGAGACCCTCCATCGCTTCCAATTCATTAAAATCCATTGACAGCCCAGTCGAAGAAATCAGATGTAATTGATGAAATGAGGGTGTAATTTCATCAGGATTTGAAAAATAAATAAATAAATAAACCAGTAAAGGTTAGGGTTTGGATTTTTTGCTTATACTTTTTCTGGGCGTGGATTCACAGAGATATTAGCATAAATTTAAAGATAGATTCCGGCCGGCAACATTGATTCGCAGGGCAAAGAATCAATAAAGCAGAGTTACAGAAGATTCTGAAGAGCATTTGATCATAATTTGGGGAATGTTAACTGTAATTTTTGGGCAATTCATCTCGGAAGGGCTCTTTTCCAAGTCACAGAGCGAGAAGGGTCTACATCTTAAACCCCATCTCTAGAAGGGCTTTCTTTAAAGATAATTATTATCACTACAAATTTTATTAAGCCTCTGTTTGCACCTCATTACCTGAGAATAAAAATGAAAGAAATGGTATTTTTTTTTTTAAAAATGAGTGGTTGAAAAAAAAAAGAAAATTTTCAATTTACGTGAAATATTATTTTATGAAAGATTGTGTAGTTGAAAATAGGAGAGAGAAAAATGGAATGTAATGTAATTTAATTTAATGGGGATCAAACGGGAGCTAAATACACCATAATTTTTTATTTACTAAAATATTTTTAAGTAAAATTACATAATTAAAATTTTAATATACTTTTTAATTAAATAAATTATTGTTACATCACAAATATAAAGTGTAATTTGTTTCTTTCTTTTTCTTCAACATCTCATTATTTATAGTTTTTCGATAGCTTTTGTATTCTTCCACGACGACTAGATAATCTTTTCTCTCACGGTAAATGAATTTTATTTTTGAATTTATTTTTCAAGTTTGAAAATTAAGAATATAATTTTTTGTTAAGTTAAATAGATTTATTATGATTTTAAAACAAATATGTAAGATTATGATTTTTAATTGTTAAATGGGTTTATGAATTTACGCATATATACACTCACCATAATTTCATGAATTGCGTGCATTCATCATGTAGGACATACACAGGTTGTACCACTCATTACCATGAATTGTATGTATATAAATAAACCATAAATGAATTTGTGTACATGTAGGTACGTCAATTTTCGTAATTTTTGTCTATAAGGTATTTGAATTTTCTAAAGTTGTTCTTAATCAACAAAAAGTTTTTACCTTTGTATTATATTTTTTACAGGATCGTAGTAAATTAAATTTTTTTTATAACTTATCATAATTCAATTTATTGGTCCTAAATGTTAGAAAAATTAGGACGGCTTCAATATATACAATTATATACAATACTTTATTATTGACCAAGTGTAAATAAATCGAATATTAAATTTATATCTATTAATTCAATTCTGAAACATGTCCAGTTTATCAAAAATATGTCATAAATACTTCCTCAAGTTGGGTTTTAAATGTGTCCGATGAATTATTAAAACATTTTTATCCATGAAATTAAAAGGTTGTTGTCGATAAAATTTCTTAATTTCCACTTAAAAGTTTTTCCAAAATAGACTTCCAAAATTGAAAAATGAAATTGCGAATACATTAAAAATTCATATTTCGAATAAAAATAGTAGCACAAACAAATTGCAGACAACTTCAAATGATCATTTCGGACATATTAATTATTTGTGACAAACATTCAATTTATTATAGCATGGTATTCTTCACCGATCTTTAGGTTTCAATTGTTATGAAATAAATGAGGGGAAATGTTAAGAAAATGAGAATTAATACTGGTGATAAGAACAATATAATATTATATTATGTTCTTTTTCAATATTTTATTTTGATTGAATTAGGAGTATAATTGTAAATTTATGGTGGTGTATTTATTAAAAATATATTTTAATTATGGTGTAATTATAATGTAGTTTAGTAATTAAAATTTGTAGTTGTAATATAGTTAGCATTCTTTAAATATTAAAGCTAGGGAAATTGGCTCAAATGATCCAAACCTTTTCTCATGTTGTATTTTGGTTCAAATTTTTAAATTTGACATTAACCATCCCAAACATTTGCATCCTTGGCATAACTGGTCATTTTGAATGGATATTGTCCATAACGGCCATTAATTTTGCACGTGAAGAGCGATTTTTTCAATTATATTTTTTTTATTTGAAGGGGTAATTTTGTCAAATTCAAAAAAAAAATTAGAAAAAAACAGAAAAAGAGTAAACTTCTTCTTCTCCTTCTCCTTATACAATACTTGATAATCCTCGCCCCTACCACCACGCATAGAAATTCCACTACCACAACCGCCCTAATGATAGTAATTGTTGTAGGATATATAAAAATTAGTTGCAGAAACCATTGCAAAATAATAAAATGAAGAAATCAATCAAGACTCGAGACAACATGATGTCTTAAAATGAAATTGCTTGTCATTAACTATTGCAAAGTATTTGAACAATCATTCCTAAAATACAACGATCGAATTAGCATTACTCACAAGTGATTTTTAGAACCCTCAATTGCTCAAAAACAATATTTGCGTAAAATAATTTTTAGAATTTAATGTTTTCTAAAGTGTAATGGATGAAAATTTCTTTATCATTTTCAAGAAAATGAGATGTGTGTGTGTGTGTTACCGAGAAGACCAAAAAAAATTACAAAATAATTAAAATAAATTTTTATTTATTTTAATCAAAGAAGACCAAAATGCTTAAAAGTTCAAAAGGTCAAGATCCAATATAGACTTTTTAATAATCGCATGAAATGTGATTCAACCATCAACCTCCCACATAAATTTCACATTTTTTACGATTCGATCATCTATCTCAATTTAATTTCTTTGAATAATAAATTTGATATATATATTTACACATACACGATTTTGATCTCCTAAGTACCGTGCTTAGCTTATGCTAAGCACCGTGCTTAGTTTGGCAAAACTAACTAATTATGTAGTTATCCATCCATTAAATAAAATTATAAATTAATCTATTACTTTCAATAATTAATAAAAACAAAGCAAAACTAACTAAGTAATTATCCCTCCATTAAATGAAATTATAAATTAATCTATTACTTTCAATACTTAACTATAAACAAAGCATAACATATAGTTTATTCAGTAGTTATCCATCCATTAAATAAAATTATAAATTAATCTATTACTTTCAATAATTAAATAAAAACAAAGCAAAACATATATTTATCCGTCAATTATTAAATTATATTTCTAATTAATCTATTAATGACAATAGTTAATTAAGACAAAACTTAAATTAATAGCAACTATTACAATTAGAGACCCACTTAAATACATATTCTCACATACATGATTATCTCCAATTTTCTTCTTATCTTTTGTAATTTATTTCGAAGACATCCCTAAGGTTTGAATGTAGACACTGTTTGGTTAGATTGGTTCAACTTGTGTTGATTACCATGAAAATTGACTCATCCTCTTATGCATTTTAGATTATGTTTATCTTACTCTACAATTATTTCCTTTATTTTTGTGTATAATCCTTCTTTGATACAGGCATGTCCATCATTCATAATTTCAATTATGAATGTTTATTAAAGTAATCATAATCATTTCTAGTATTATCTTTACAAATTTGGCAGTTGAAGTGCAAATTCAAGCTCCCTCTCATTTCCCATCAGTAAGTATAATTCAATGCAAGATGGAAATAATAAAACTAGATATCTAAGTTTGTTTGGATGACATTTATCCACGATCCCTTCATGAAAACGAAGGCAGTAGAAACTCTTAGGGGAGTTCTCTTTTATAGCACTTGTATGTGGTTTTCTAGGTACATTTTCCCAGGCCATGTTCACCAATGTCATGTAGCTTGTGATTGTAGTAATTTATTAAGATGTTCACAGCTTTGCAGAATTGGCGTTTGGTTATATAATTTTACGCATTTATTGATCAAGATGTTCTAACAAATACATCAATTTTAACATGGAAATAATAAATAATTTATATATATATATATATATATATATATA